CACATTGCCAAGGGCTGCACCCTCCCCGAGCTGTTTCCCCGGAGGGCGAGGTTTGAGGCAGGAACTGGCCCTTGGAGCATAGAGGCATACTTTATAAAGTTTTAATACATTATATTAGAGGTCGTGGTGGTAGTTTTACCCACAGCATCTACAGGAATTGCAGATTTACTTCTTGGTGGAAGCACCTTCCATTCCCAATAGAAATTACCGATTTCATTAAATGAAACTTCGATTTCTAGACTCGATATAAACAGTGAAGTTGCTAAAACTATTAAAAAGGCCCAACTTCTCATTATTAATGAATGCACCATGGCATCCAGTCATGTTATAAATGCCATAGACAGATTACTAAGAGGAATCATGAATTTGAATGCTGTATTTGGTGGGAAAGTTCTCCTTCTTGGAGGGGATTTTTGACAATGTCTCAGTATTGTACCACATGCTATGGGATTGGCCATAGTACAAATGAGTTTAAAGTACTGCAATGTTTGGGGATGTTTCAGAAAGTTGTCTCTTACAACAAATATGAGATCAGAGGATTCTGCTTATAGTGGATGGTTAATAAAACTTGGGGATGGCAAACTTGATAGCAGTTTTCATTTAGGAACGGATATTATTGAAATCCCCTGTGATTTGTAATGGATCTATTTTTTAAAAAAATACATATTTTGTATTGATTTCGGAGAGGAAGGGAGAAGGAGAAAGAGATAGAAACATCAATGAGGAGAGAGAATCATTGATTGGCTGCCTCCTGCACACCCCCTACTGGGGATTGAGCCCACAACCCAGGCATGTGCCCTTGGCCAGAATCGAACCTGGGACCCTTCAGTTCGCAGGCCAACGCTCTATCCACTGAGCCAAGCCGGCTAGGTCTGGATCTATTATTGAAGCTACCTTTGGAAATACTATATGAATAATATTAAAAATATATCTAAAAGTGCAATTCTTTTCCAAAAAATGAGCACATTCAAAAATTAAATGAAGAAATTTTGGATTTACTCGATGGAGATTTTCACACATATTTGAGTGATAATTCCATTGATTCAACAGATGATGTTTTTATATCATGTTTTTGTTGTTTTCGTATCATGTTTTTGTTATATCATGCCTCTGTTGTTATATCTTTTTGTTACTGTTTATTTATTAATAAATTTATAGTTTTCATATACATTTTACTAATTTCCTTTCATCTCTGACACTTCTATTATAGAGAAAGGGCACATAGCAATATTAAAATATTTCTGCTAATTAATTCCCTTTTAATGTGCACGAATTTCGTGCACCGGGCCACTAGTTTCTTCATAAGTTCAGAAATTTTGTTTATATCATGCACACTGTGAATGATACATTAGAGTGACTTTGGGATTTGGTTTAGTGTTCTGTTGAGTATTAATTTTTTTTGGTGGTATTTTTGTATTAGGAAAGAATTAACTTGGCTCAACTGAAATCTAAACTATGTCTCCCTTTAGGAGATGGCAGCTAACATTTCTGTTCAGTTGTTTTAGCCTTATCTGGACTGCTTGGAGTCTGTTCCACTCTTGTGTAGATCGGTGACCAGCTAGAGACATGGATAGAAATAATATGCAGAATTTGCAACTCTGTCTTTGGTTCTTTATTTTCTAGCTGCTGTGGTAGCTTCACCCTGGTTTTTCAAGCCAGTAAGATTGCCTGTCATGATCCAAGTTTCCGATGCTCTGCAGTTCACACTAGGGCAGTGGTTCTCAACCTTCCTAATGCCCCGACCCTTTAATACAGTTTCTCATGTTGTGGTGACCCCAATTTCATTGTTACAAATTGAACATAAAGCATAGTGATTAATCACAAAAACAGTATGTAATTATATATGTGTTTTCCGATGGTCTTAGGCGACCCCTGTGAAAGGGTCGTTGGACCCCCAAAGGGGTCGTGACCCAAAGGTTGAGAACCGCTGCACTAGGGGCTTTACAGCAAAACCTGTAAATACAGGAAACCCACCTAGTCTATTCCCTTCTTCCAAATGTTGTCTCCTATCCAGATTCTGTCTACTCTTGTTTGCTCACGTGCTTTCAGGTAGTTGTCTTTTATATATTTTTCCAGAATTTATGGTTATCTATGGGAACATCGGTCTGATATGAGGAATTCTGTTACTCCCTGTGGCAGAATCTGTATTTTTAAAAATTGCTTTAAAAGGTAAAAATATCTCATGAATTTATATTGATACTTCCAATTCAAATCAGAACTACAAGGTTTTTATTTATATCACATCATTTTACTTCTATATCAAGAATTATAGTTCTTAAGGGTGTAAACCAGATGATAAAATTAGAATATCATATAAATATTTACTTCTTTTCCTATACACACGGCAACCTCAAAACAACTACACTTGTGCTATCACAATGGCCACAGTGGTTACTGAAAACAATTCAAAGTTTTTTCACTTGTGCTTCCCATAGAATTCCATGCCCCAATTTTAAAATATTGTACTATTAATAACTTTTGCATGCATTAGCCATTAAATTTCATAGTTTTGGCCTTGTATCTTTTATTTAACTTTATCAATAAGTAATATTGATTTTATCAGTTCTTACAGTGAATCTTCATTTTGGTGATCTGAAGTTTTCTGGATTCTTTTGGAAAGCTCAAGAGAGCATTATTTCCTGATTTCTGGCATTTTGATAAGTCTATGCCTTCTATATGTTAAAAATCAATTTTACTAGATATAGAACACTTTATTCACATTTCTTTGAATATCTTAATATGTTACTTCATTTTCTTCTGGCATAAAGTGCTGCCTTTGAAAAATCAAATATTCTGAGATGCATATTGTATCCTTTCAGGCAGTAGTTTCAATTTTTAAAAATTTTTCAAAGAGGATTTCCTGAACGACAGTTCTACTATTTGTTTTCTTCTGGTAGTGCTCTTTAAAGACTTCTGTTACCTGAATGTTAGATCTTTGTTGCTTCAATAGTTGTGCTTTCTCTCATTCTTTTTATCTCTTCATTTCTTTTGATTTCAAAAGTGTTCTTCCTTTTTACCTTCTAGTTCTCTTAAATCATTATCTGTTGTATTTATTTTCTCTTGGTTTCATTCAGGCTTAATCTTCATTATTGAACCCATTTTTCCCCAATTTCTAAAGCTTTCCTAGATTCTGTTACCTTATTTCTGAGGGGTTTTTTTTTTGAAATCTGATTTATGTTCTTTCATGTCTTGAGTCATTTTAGTAATGTCTTTTAGCTCATTTTGAAATATTAGGTTAGTTTTCACCTATTTTGTGAAATGTGTATGTTTCTAGTATGCTTTTATTATCAGGACAGTAGTCTATATCTTACTGTCTTTTTTCTTATAATAACTTCATGAGATGACCTACATCATTTTCTGTTGTTTACCTTTTTTGTTTGTTTTTGTTTTGGTTTAGAATGACTTTTATAGAGCTCCCCCTGCTGCTGTTTTTGGGCACTCCTCAAAAGTAATTCCTGCGATTTCTAACCTTTGCTTCCTTCCCCACTTGTTATTTTTATATTCTTTTTCTGTATCTTCATTGTAACTGTTGGGCTTAGTTTTGTTTTCACACCCAGTAGTTTATACTTACTGTGACACCCTTAGTGAGGGATTAGTTTTAAGAGTTCTTAGGACTAAATTGCTCTAACTTCTTCAGAGTTCACCATGGACCCCTTGCGCTTAGTCACTATTTGAAAGGGCAGAAACCCTTTCAGATATAGCTTCTGTACTCAAACTGCCTTAGTGGTCAGTTGCATTTGCTGTTTTGGGAGTCTCTTGTCAAATCTGTTCCACACCCTGTTTCCTTTTGCTTCCTTTCATACCATGCAGGTGCTGTGGTTGTTGGTAATCTGTTCCCATCTGCTATTTTGGGGAGATTTCTAGTGAGCCAGTTTTGTTGTAAATGTTATGTGTGAATTTGGGGTTTATACTGTATTTTTATGTGGAGACTTAGGGATAATGAAAAACATTGTCACCGCCTCCATTGTCCCTGAATCTTTATAGTTTATCACTTCTTAATTGCTGTTTACGGTGTTCTTTGTTTGAAGTTTGATCATCTTGCTCTAAGTAGATTTTAACTTCCTCTAAATAGTGTTTGAATCTTAATTAGTTTGCATGTTGTTTGTGTTGAAATTTGGCTTTATAGTGTCCAGCATAGTACTGAACATGTATGAAAAAGCTCTGAGTCACCAGCTTTGAAAGTAGTTGAACAGTAGTCGAACTTGCAACCTTTTAATGGTAGGATTAGCAGCTACTCTTACAAATTGAAGGGAAATAAGGGTACCAATTGGCCTGCTTCCACATGAAGTTTATTCATGCATCATCATTGGCATGCCTGTCATCCCCTGGTCTAATCATCCCTGTAAGACATTGCTTTAATGTATTGTTGGTCCAAACAGTAAGCATAATAGAAACATACTGGAAACATAGCAAGCATCATCCCGCAAAATAATAACATTTCTGTTTGTCACAATTTAAGATATTGTAAAGGAAATGGTGAAATTCTTGAGTGAAGCAATTAAAATGGTCAAAATGATAAAAAAAAAAAATTCTTAAAACACTAAGCCAAAACAAATAAACCAAAGATTGTTTAGTTTGTTAATATGAAGAGAGGCAAATGGGCGTGGATGGGATATGATGGAATTTGGTAAGATTGTGAAGAGAAGTAAGGAACACAAATAATACTTTAGTTAAGGAAGCATTAGATTTTATATGTTGAATAGTAGTTTTAGGGATCTTGTTATCTAACAATGGCACATTTCCTTTGCTCCTGAATTTGGTATTCTAAAAACTCAAGTAATGAGTTAGTCCCTAAAATACAGCAGAACTTTATTGACTTGGTAAAACTTCCCAAGATATTTATAGTGTTAAGAGGTTGGTATTTCTTATATTTTACTTAATTTGACTTCCTTGTTTAAAGGAATCATACTTTATTTTAATTTATGAAGATATAGTATTTGTGTAATATGTTTCATTTAAAATTACTCCTAAGCTTTACCTTCTTAAAAATCTTTTAACAGGCTTCAACAAATAATGAAAGCTCTAATCACAGTTTTGGAAGCTTGGGATCTTTAAGTGATAAAGAATCAGAGGTAAGTAACTTCATTTTAAATATGGTACTATTAAAGTCAAAGTTGGAATCACCTTTTTAAAAAATAAAATAGGTTTGTTTCTTCAGTTCTTATGCTAAATATTAATGCTTTTTAAATTTTTGTAGGAGCATTTTACTCTGCCTTATGAAGCACAGCATTCAGACTGAAGACTGTATTTGTCATTAGAAAGAAAATATAGTTTCTTTGTTTATGGAGCTGAACTTGTGGTATAAGTGTTCTTAATGGAAGACAAGTTACTTGCCACTCATAATTTTAGTAGTTGAGGGTGGTTTTTGAAATACATTGCTTCACAGTTTTCTATTTCTTATTATACTTTCCTCTTAGTTTGGCTCTGAGTAAGGGTTTGTTTACTTTCTAAGATACAGATATAAGGGCTTTTTTTTTTCCTCTTTTTAAAATTTCTTTTGGAATTTCGTGCTCTTGGTTTTCCTTTTTCTTACTTAAAAATATCTGAAAAATGTCCTCTCCTCCCACCCACTTACTGACCCCACTGAGAAAATACATTGGATTTTGTAAGTAGCCATTTCAACCCATGGGATAGTTCACATTAAGCATGATATACTTGATGGCATCTTTTAAAAATGTATAGACAGGAATTGCTTTGAGTTTTAGCATTTACTTGTTGATGCTGCAACTTTAGTTTTTGTGGATATAGCCTATAATACTGTCTCTTCTCAGATTACAGAATTCTGTTACTTACTTTTCAGTGTATTTGTGTGTGTGTGTCTGTGTGTGTTTTCCCTGTCGATGTTAACTTATTTCTATTTGATCCATTTTAGTCTTTTTTTCTATTTGGATTAGTGTAGATATATCACCTTGTTAATACCAAAAAGTTGTTAACACTCAGAAACTCTTAGCTATTCAGTTTTGGTGTTCAGTGGAAAGGCAATACCAAAGGTGGCCTCTTTTTAAGCCCTGTGTTATGGAAAGCATCTAGGAATCTCTAGGTAGACAGTTGTGTGCAGTTCTGTGCAGGCACCCTGACACTCCAAAGGAGTGTGGCATAGGGCTCTCACTCATCAGGCTTTCCCTTCCACAGAGACAACTGGCAGGCAGCTGAAAGGACTGTGCAAGTGACGGGACTTTATCTGCAGTAGGTTCCCTTGAGGTAAGCGTTAGTAGCCCCTGTAGCACCAGATTGTCACAGTTCAGTTTTGTGGTTTTTTTTTAAATAACACTCTTATACTGAGCCTTTAAAAATAGTAGGTTTAGATCTAGACAAAAGTACAGTTTTTCAAAAATTATATCAAGAATGTTTTCACTTTATATTTCCTGGACTTTGAAATATTTCTTGACATTTCTAGATTTTAGTCTATTTAGTAATTTCACATGCCTCCTCTTTCACAGGCTTTTATGTTATAAAGAACAGTAAAATGATTTTAGATATTTCCCTTTTCCATTCACCAAATCTGGTGTTCTTTATTTTTTATTTTTTAAATAGCAAAACATAGTAAAAAGTTAGATCACCTAAAAAAAATAATATTTCTATGTTCTTTATAGATGCAGTATTTAATTCCTTCAAAAGAATCAGTTATAAGAAAATACCACTCTTTAAAGAATTCCAAGGATCACTTTTGGCTATATTTTTAATTTAAAATATTGATTTGTTATTGTTTTTTAAAGACCATAGTGGCATTTCCAGTGAAATAGGATTTGGTTCAACATTGGATATACTGAGCTTTATTTATATAGAAATTTTGACAGTAGGGGCAGCAATAGAAATCTTAAAACTCTTTTGACTTTTGCTGTTCTGTGTTCTTTATCTGGAAGTTTTAGAAAATTAATGATTAAGTCAGGTGGCGCAATATTTTAGAAATGACTACAAATTATACATTTTCCTTAAGATTTAAAGAAGCAAAAAAATTTGTTTGTTTTTGTCTTTCCATTGTAAGAAGCTACATATCTGGAAAATGATTCCCAGGTTTTATTTCTAAACTACATACCTTAATTCATGAATTCCCTTGGGTAAAATTTCATATAAATCAAGATACAGATATTCATAGGCCATTAAGTTAAGTTGTTGGGAGTAAACATTAAATTGCAGAAGAACTTTTTTTCCCAGTAAGTAGTAGAGTTTATGTAGTATTCCATTGTCTTCTGATGTTGTTATTCTTTTGGTAATCCATTCCCTCATCATTACTTTTTAAAAAATAATAGTTTTTGTTTTTATGAACAAATACTGCTAAAATATTTATTTATTATTATTTTTTAATGATAAAAGTACAGATTCAATCAGATTTAATTTTTAAAAATGGAACATTTCGCATGGGCTCCCTCTGCAGGCCTCTTCCCTAAAAGGAAGGGCAACTGTGATCTTCATATAAGTGGGTAGGGCTTTGACCAAGAGACTCCCCCACTGTAGAGACTTGGCCTGGGGCAGACAGCAAGGCTGAAGACCTCTGGCCCTCTGCACCCCCATCTCCTTCCCTCATGGCCAGACAGGAAGGACTCTACTTTGGCTACCCACCCTTTCCACACCCCACTTTCTGTTTTTTAGCTTTTCTTCTTGATATTTATTTCTACGTTTTATAATGTAAATAATGTGCATATCTTGCTATTTTGTTTCATCAATTAGACATTATCTGTTGAGTCCCTTTTAGTATTTATGAAGATTCTTAGTTTTCCCTACTCTCTTCAGATACTCAGAAACCTATTTTCTTCTATCCTTTTACTATTAAAACTGAAAAGCATCTGATATTTACTATTAGGGTAATTGAATCTACTTCAACTGAAAATTTTCATTTCAGTTAATATATGAATCACTTCATATATGAATTAGCCTTTTATTTCTAAATGTAGAATTATAGACCAAAAAAGGTTTTCCTTTTGTTAATGAAATCACCCAGTAGGTAGGAAGGTGTTGATCTTGTTTTGCTTTGTTATACATAAATCTAGGTCTATTCAACAGGCTCTAAAAATTTACTGTATTTTCATTAAGCATTTATTATCTGTTATCTTCTAACCTCTGTGCCAAGCACAGAGAATATAAAGATGAATAGTGTATTATCTCTGCCTTCACAAGAGGACAGATTGCTTTATAAACAGTGTGGGCTGTTGTAATTGATGTAAGCACGAGGTGCTATAGGGTCAAAGAGTAAGAAACCCATAATCCCACCTGCCTGCAAGGGAGAAGAGGGGAGGAAAGAGAGAGATCTTCCTTCAAAGAAGAGATGATAGTTGTTAGGAAAGGCTGTGAATTCATTCCAGAGGTTAAAGGCAAAATGTGAGAAGGCAGTAGAGAGACTTCCGTGCTTTTGCATGGAAGTTTGGCAGATAGTTTTGTTCATGGCATAGGGCAGTGATTCTCAACCCCAGCTGGATCCCCTGAGGAGCTTAGAAAAAATACCATGCTGCAGAGGTGACTCAATTGGTTTGCAAACTTCTGGTATAGGGAGGATATGCAAGAAGGGTGAAAGATAGGCAGGGGTCAGGGTTTGAAAGGCCGTTTATTTCATAATAAGGAATTTGGGCTTTTATCTGGGTAATGGAAAGTCCTCGAAGCAGGGAGGAAAAAGACAAAGTGGAGATGAAGAAGCCCTCTCCAGGTGGCAATATGGAGGGGATAGGATTGGAAGGAAGCAAAACCTCAATTGGAATACTTTGCCTTTACAAAACTCCAAACTTCCATGGTTTACTATTAGGGAAAACTTCAAGTGGGAGGAGTTCTAATTGAGTGTTCTTAAGTTTGCCTTTGAATGTTCTTCTTCAGATTCTCTCACTTTGGTTATTGATGCTATCACCACCCAGCCCATGCCTCTCAGAGGTTAATGTGCAAGTGAATTACCGAGGGTTCATATGTCTATAGATCTGGGGTGGGGGTTGCATTTCTCTAACAAGTTCTCGAATTCCACTAGATTTTAAGAGTAGAATCAGTAGTTTGATGAATATTGAATGAGGGTAAAAAGGAAAGAGAAGAGCCTAGGATTTTTTAAAGGTACATAACTTTAGGTGAGAACTCAGGAAGGAAAGGGGTCAGGCTAGAGAGAAAGACTTGGGAGTTTCTACATAGGAGTGAAATGATTGGGTGGTCTGAGGATTCCTGGGGGTCCCTGAGACTCTTCCAGGGGACTCACAAGGTCAGTTTTTGTAACAGTGCTAAGACATATTTGGCTTTGTAAAATTTTAATTTTCTCCTGAGCTGACAGTGAAAATTTCCAGAGGCTGTATGATACATGATGTCATCACTGACAATATGTGGATTCTGCACTTGTGTATTCTGGCGTTTAAATGCTTTTTAGTTTTAAATTCTAAAATGATAACTATTGGTAGTTATAAACCACATAAATAAAAGCTCTTTGGGGTCCTCAATAGCTTTTAAGAGTGTGTAGAGGAGCCCTGAGATCCAAAAGTTTAAAACCTGCTTTTGTAGATGAACTCCTCCTGATAGTTTGTGTAACTCTAGGAGATGTTACCAAGCCAGATGGGTGTGCTGAAAGGAGGTGGACAGTAGGAAGAAAAAGAGAAGAGGAGAAGAAGATGAGTAGAATTAAATGTCACAGAAGTCACAAGATAATAACAGTAAAAAGTGACTAAGAATTTGTCATTTAGGCTTAGTTCTAGTAAATTAATGGGCGCAGGATTCCAGATTATAGTTGGTTAAGGAAGCATTGGAAAATGAGGAAATAGTGACAACAAATATTGACAGCTCTTGGCAGAATTTTTACTGTAAAGGAAAGGAGACAATATTGAGAGTCTTAACAGGCTTGCCATATTATGTGGTAAGGAAAGGGTCATAGAGGAGCTATGATGGGTCAAGGAAAGTGCCAAAGAAAAAGGAGAAAGTAGAACCAAAACTCAACACCTTTTCCTCAGAGCAGTATGAATGGTGAGATCCAGACCTTGGTGGGCAGGGTTAGTTGTAGGCAGAAATGACAAGAAATAGCCTTTCTTTTGATGGATGAATTTCTAAGCCTAATAACCTTTCTCTTACTTTACAGTAAAAAAAAAAAAAAAAAAAAAAAAAAAAGAGGTTATCAGCC